TAACCTACATTAAAGGCTGAATGTCAATGCATTGACAGGAATTTGACTGCAGATATTTTTAGAGCAAGAATGTCAAGCATTAAGGTAGTTTTCCTTATTTTTCTGATAAAATGTATAAAAAAGCAATTCTGAAAATGCTCCTTGTCTTTAAATGCTACTGTCAGTAGACATATAAAATAAGTAGAATAGTTTTGACAGATTTGACATTTCAAGATTGTTACATACCCAGTTCCCTTTTTTGTGTTACATTTTATTCTGAGTCGTTGCTATTAAGCCAAAGTCATGTGGAGACAACAATTCCTGTTGTATCAGTTGAATGTGTTTTTTTTTTTTTTCGAACTGCTAGTTTTTTTGGGCATATTTTTATGGGGATAGACTTATTTGTTTAAATGGTATATATACTTTGCATGTTTGCCTTACTGAGGGCCTGTGTTTTGGCCATTCACAGGTAATCATTGCAACAGACATAAATGGCTTCAGGCAATGTCAGCTTCCCATTTCTTTTAATGGGGCTTCCTATTCACAGCTAGTTGAAAGGAACCCCACTGAGTCTCCAACATTTAATTGAAAATAAATCCCAGAAGGGCATCCATCTGCAAGGGGTTTAGGCCTCATTCACAGTGTACACCTATGCGAGGGTCGTGCTTACCAACACAGGGATACACAGGTGTTCCATGCATCCTTCTGCAGGCAGTCCAATTCATGTCAATTGGGATGCAGTATCTGCATGGACTCAGCCACTGCTTACAATTTTTACATCTTTGTGGATGCAGTTGCATGGTCCCAAATTAAGACATTGAACATTTGGGGAACGTTCATCAACATCTGCATGGCTGTCAATTTGTAATAAGCAGCTGTGCCCATGCAACCGCTGTGTCCCAATTGACTTGGATGAGACTTCCTGCACTGAGTTGCATGAATCACCTGTGCATCCCTATGTGGGCAAACATGGCCCTCACACAAGTGTAAGTTGTAGTACGCACCTGTGAACAAGGTCTTATATGTGTTATAATTTATATATTTCTGTGAATTTCAGGTGGTTTGCTTTCCTGTCAATATCCAGAAATGTTATACCAATAGCCTCTGACTCAAATTTACCCTAAGGTGTATGGTCCCTGCAGCATAGTTAAGCAGAGTAGTCATTTCCCCCCTTTCCCAGCAGAGATGTGCATGCCTACTACAATCCAAAGCAAAGGTTGGTGAGATTTCTACATGCTGAATCCAAGGTCACACAACCAAAGGCAAGCAACACAAGGGGAAGCAGTGCTAAGCTCTCCACCTGTCTTAACATGTATTATTGCATGGCTGTGCTATTTAAAAAGATTCTAACCATAGAAATACAGAAAGAAGCTCTTGACTAAAATCTGATAAAAGAGCAGCAATTACTTTCAGGGCATTCTTCCTAGAGGAGAATCCACTACTGGTTCTAATATAAATCTGTGAAAGCATTGGTTTCTCTGAACACATCCAAATCTATTACTGTGTTGAGCCGTGATTAAAGTGTTACTATACCCACAACCAGTGGTGTATTTTGGTTTTGTGCTGCCCTAGGCAAGACTAAAATTGGGCACCCCCCGCATCTAAATTTGCCCCACCCTTTTATCTGCAAACTCCGCTCCTTCCTCTTTAGGCTCCACCTCTTCCTATTAGAGCTCCACCCACTGACAATGATGGGGCGCTATTCCTCCCACTGACACCAATGATGGGGTACGATTCCTCCCACTGACACTAATGATGGGGCACTATTCCTCACACTGACACCAATGATGGGGCACTATTCCTCCCACTGACACCAATGATGGGGCACTATTCCTCCCACTGACACCAATGATGGGGTATGATTCCTCCCACTGACAATAATGATGGGGGCCCTATTCATCCCACTGACACCAATGATGGGGCACTATTCCTCCCACTGACACCAATGATGGGGCACTATTCCTCCCACTGACACCAATGATGGGGCACTATTCCTCCCACTGACACCAATGATGGGGCACTATTCCTCCCACTGACACCAATGATGGTGTCATCTATTCCTGTGTGAACTGTGCACCATCATTGGTATCAGTGGGAGGAATAGTGCCCCATCATTGGTATCAGTGGGAGGAATATGCCCCATCATTGGTGTCAGTGTGAGGAATAGCGCCCCATCATTGGTGTCAGGGGAGGAATAGTGCCCCATCATTGGTATCAGTGGGAGGAATCGTGCCCCATCATTGGTGTCAGTGGGAGGAATAGCGCCCCATCATTGGTATTAGTGGGAGACATAGTGCCCCATCATTGGTGTCAGGGGAGGAATAGTGCCCCATCATTGGTATCAGTGGGAGGAATCGTGCCCTATCATTGGTGTCAGTGGGAGGAAAAGTGCCCCCTCATTGGTTTCAGTGGGAGGAAAAGTGCCCCTTCGTTGGTGTCAGTGACACCAATGAAGGGGCACTATTCCTCCCGCACTGACACCAATGAAGGGCACTATTCTTCCCCCACACTGACACTAATGATGATGGGGCACTATTACTTCCATTGACACCAATTATACTTACATAGCTGTGCTGACCCCTGCTCCAGCCCAGGCTCCCTCCTTCAGACACAGACACTTACCCATCAGCTGCCTTCCTTCTCCAGCCACTCTCCTCCTCTTCACCGGCTCCAGCTGCTCCCTCACTCGATCTTCAATCTTCGCACTGCCGCTCAGCTCCTCCTCTCCAAGCTCCGCTTCCTCGTCTGTGATTGGCTGCCTGTGTGCCTTTTCTGAGCTACAGATCTGGCGGCCAATCACCGGCAATGAGGCGAAGCTTGCAGAGGGAGGGACAGGCTGCCATAGGCTGCCCAGGGATCCCAGGGGTGTGGCCAGATTAGAGGGATGGCTTGTCATCCCGCCCACATCGCGATCAAGATCCAGGAAGATGAAGACACCGGACGGACACCCTCTGCACCCCTCCTCCAGCAGCGCCCTTGTGGACCGGATCGACGTGGGACATGAAATCAGGTAAGACACAGCAGCCCCTGTCCCTTTCCCACGGTAGTGTCCCTACCACGGGGAGGGGGGGGGGGGCGGCACTGCAGAGGGACAGATGAGGGGCAGTGGGACAGGAGGAGCTCAGAGGGACAGGTAGGGGGCAGCGTGATGGGGGGCATGAGACAGGATCGGGGCAGCGAGACAGGAGAAGCACAGTGGAACAGGAGAAGCGCAGAAGGATAGGTGAGGGGAAGTGGGACACGAGGAGCGCAGAGGGACAGGTGGGGGTCAGCGTGACAGGGGTGATGGGACAGAATCGGAGCAGTGGGACAGGAGGAGTGCAAAGGGGCAGGATCAGGGTAGTGGGATATGAGGAGCGCAAAGGGACAGGTGTGAGGGGCAGTGGGACATGAAGAGCGAAAAGGGACAGGTGAGGGGTAGTGGGACATGAGGAGCACAGAGAGACAGGTGAAGGGCAGTGGGACAGGAGGAGCACAGAGGGACAGGTGAAGGGCAGTGGGACAGGAGGAGCACAGAGGGACAGGTGAGGGGCAGTGGGACAGGAGGAGCGCAGTGGGACATGTGAGGGGCACATGGACAGGAGGAGTCCAGTGGGACAGGTGAGGGGCAGATGGACAGGAGGAGCGCAGAGGGACAGGTGAGGGGCAGATGGACAGGAGGAGCACAGAGGGACAGTTAAGGGGCAGTGGGACAGTAGGAGCACAGAGGGACAGGTGAGGGGCAGTGGGACAGGAGGAGCACAAAGGGACAGGTGAGGGGCAGTGGGACAGGAGGAGCGCAGAGGGACAGGCGAGGGGCAGATGGACAGGAGGAGCGCAGAGGGACAGGAGGAGTGCAGAAGGACAGGTGAGGGGCAGATGGACAGGAAGAGCACAGAGGGACAGGTGAGGGGCAGTGGGACAGGAGGAGCACAGAGGAACAGATGGGGGGCAGCGTGACGGGGGCATGGGACAGGATCGGGGCAGCGGGACAGGAGTAGCGCAGTGGGACAGGATCGGTGCAGTGGGACAAGAGGAGCGCAGTGGGACAGATGAGGGGCAGTGGGACAGGTGAGGGGCAGTGGGACAGGAGGAGCCCAGTGGGACAGGTGAGGGGCAGTGGGACAGGTGAGGGGCAGTTGGACAGGAGCAGCACAGTGGGACAGGTGAGGGGCAGTGGGACAGGAGGAGCGCAGTGGGATAGGTGAGGGGCAGTGGGACAGGAGGAGCGCAGAGGGACAGGTGAGGGGGCAGATGGACAGGAGGAGCGCAGTGGGACAGGTGAGGGGCAGATGGACAGGAGGAGCACAGAGGGACAGGTGAGGGGCAGATGGACCGGAGGAGAGCAGAGGGAAAGGTGAGGGGCAGATGGACAGGAGGAGCGCAGAGGGACAGGTGAGGGGCAGATGGACAGGAGGAGCGCAGAGGGACAGGCAAGGGGCAAATGGAAAGGAGGAGCGCAGAGGGACAGGTGAGGGGCAGATGGACAGGAGAAGCAGAGAGGAACAGGTGAGGGGCAGATGAACAGGAGGAGCGCAGAGGGACAGGTGAAGGGCAGATGGACAAGAGGAGCACAGAGGGACAGGTGGGGGACAGTGGGGACAGATGGGTAGTAGTGGGACAATGTCGGGGACAGGAGGGGGAAGTGGAACAGGTGGGGGGCAGGGTGACATGTGGGGGCAGGGGGCAGTGTGATGGATGGGGGGCAATGGGACGGGGGAGGGAAGTAGAACAGGTGGGGGGCAGTGTATCAGGGGACAGTGTGACAGGAGTAGGGATGCACCAGTCCTCCAAGCACTTACCTGTCCAGCAGGGACTCCTCCAGATGATGTCCCTTCTCCCCCAGGTTCTCCGGCGGCGACTGCAAAAGAGCGGGCGGGCTCCGCCCCCCTAACCTCAGCCCCTTCTGCTTCCCTCCTGGCCTTCCTGCACATCCCGGGCCCGGCACACTGACAGCGGGCCCGCCCCTCATGGGATCCGAGCGCACACCGGGGATCTGCCCACCACTCCGCTCTCCTCTGCAGCCGGGGACAGATCTTCATGGGGGGTGTGACAGTGTGGCGATCTGTCACCCTGGATTCTCAACAAGGCAGGTTGAGGGGCTCCAGGGTAAATGTTTGATATGGAGGAAAGTGGCTTTTCACCTTCCTCCTTTGTTTGTAAGGTCTGTTTTGGGATCTGGAGCCTGGAGATTTCAAAGAGATCTGGGAGGGATGAAATCTCCAATCCTGGGACCAGGTTTTGGGAATGGCCATTACACTGATTGCACAGGTGTGCACGGCTCCACCCCGGCAGTTAGGAGTCAGGAGGGCTCCACCCTGGCAGACGGGAGGTCTCTGCCTTGGAGTCAGGTGGAAGGCAGACTAGCTGTGTGCTAGTGACATATTTTGGGAAGAGTCTGCAGGAGGCAGACTTAAAACTGCGTACAAGCCAGGAGGCTGAATATTGTTAATTTACTTGATGGTGGATACCCCTGCGTGGGAAGCATTTCTGTTTTGAACTTTCTTAAATAAAAGTGGGCTAAAAAGGCCCTTAAAGAAAGGGAGTAGCTGTGTGCGTTTAAAAGGCTCTACCACCTAGAAGCGAGTTCCCACATATGGTGGAGGATGCTGTGGGCAGAATTGGAGATCCCAGCGATTGAAGTAAGTTCATCAGTTATATGAAACTGTTTTGGTGCATAAGTCTGCACTATCTGTGTGTGCAGGTGAGGAGAACCTGCTAGAGGAAAGGACTTTGCCTTAAAGAGACAGTGTTCCATGGTGTTGCTGAACTGTGAAACACACTGCTGTGTGCACGACTGCAAAGATGGGGCGGTCAAAACAGAAAAAGGAGGCAATGTTTGCTGAAATAAGAGAGAGAGCCCTGTGGCTAGGGAGTTATGTACCACATGACCCAGCCAAGCCGGGAAATTTAGATGTGGGTGAGTCTGCTGTGGACTGGTGCAAGCGGCACCTCGCAGCATTGAACCAACCTACAGAGGAAAGCAAGCCAACCTTCAGTGCAAGGAGAGATCTGCAGGATGTCCGTACCTGGGAGAGGGGTGTTGTTGCCCCTGGCAACGCTGCTGCAGTTAAACCAGTAGCTGTTGTGAAAAATGTGAATGTGTCACGGCTTGAGAGTTGGTCCAGCAGAGAGAAGCCCATGCTATGTGCAAGGAGAGGAGCTGACCAGAGGCCAGGACCAAGAGTGAAGGCCCATAGCAACACAGAGGAGGCCAGTCGGGCTGTCTGTGTACAGGGGGCTATGTGGTATAAGGATCGTGGCAAGTGGCATCAAGAGGAGCCAATACAGCATGTTAGCCAGCAAAGTTCTGCTTGGAGAGTGCAATCTCCCATGGCGACCGGAGAAAAAAATATTGCCTGGAAGGAGGAGCTGCATTGGAGATGTGGCTCAGTATCCCAATAAAGAGAAGTGCAGAAATATACCCTGCGTGGAATGTGGTCAGTGGGGGCATGGGATCTTTTCCTGTCCCAGACTCTGGAATACCACTGATACTGGGCAAATGTCTACAACATCAAGCCCAGATTCTTGTTTGAAAATGTTGGCGGCCGCCTCTGGCAACAGGGAGGAAGTTCCTGTTGGGCCTGCAGGGGGTGCCGGAGAGTCCATGGAGCCTATGGAGGCATCTGTTACTTTACCTTGGGGCAAGGGAAAAGTTGCCAAGGAAAGTGCAGTTGAGGATGCGTTTATGAGACGACGCACTCAAATGAAGATGGTGACACCTACTACTGTGGTGGGTAAGACTGTGTGTGATAAAACCATGGCTGGGACTGTCATGTTGAGAAGGACTGGTTATGAGACTGTCCATTCTGATGTAGGAGTGACCCCAGTTGGTTGGGCAACTGAATGTGCTTTTGAGAGTGACTTTTCCCTGTGCAGTGCCTTGTACAGTGGGGAGTTAGGGGTTAAAGTTAAACCTGTGCCTGGTTCTCAAAAAGCAAGTGATGTCACTAATGTGTGCCAGTCACAGGTTGGTAGTGGGATAGTACAGCCCACAAGAGCTAAAAAATGCTAATGTTGATGTGAAATGTTCTGCTGTTGGGAAAACCCTGAGCTCTTGCAGTGCAAAAGCTATAGTTAAAGATGGGTCGTTTCCCATAGCAACTGGTGGTAAGACAGCACAGGTGTCCTTAGACATCTCCAGGGGTCTCCGTGTATTGGAGCCTGAGGTTGCCCTGGACAACTGTGATGTCACTCTGGTGGAGCAGAGTGGAACTGCACCTTGTCATAGGAGTGTGTTGGTGCAGTCTAACAATACGGAAAGTGTTCAGGTGAACAGCGGGTTAATGCAGCCTGGCAAAAATGCAAGTGTGTGTGTAATTCAGGAAGTATCCCAGAGCAAAGTGGTGGATGTAAGGTATTGCAACCTGCAGTGGGAAAACAGGTGTTACCCAAGTCAGACGTGATCCAGAGTGATTTGTGCAATGGATCTGCAACTAAGCCCGTCTATTCTTGTGTGTCTCCTTGGGCGGATGGATCGGTGCTGAGGAGCACTGGCGAATTGAGCACATATACAATCGACTGGGATAGTTGGGGTAAACGGCTAATCTCGTTGTTAGATGAGGCTTTTATGCAAAAAAAATAAGGTGGACACTGTTTCTGCTGTGCCAGCAGGAGGATCTATAGAACAGCCTATGGATAAGGACGTGTATACAGCAGAGAATTTGTCTGTGACCCACAAAAGTGATGTTGGCATGGAGTGTCAAAATGATGTTGTCACTGGGAATGATCAGGGGCAGCTTGTGGATGCTGAGTCTGAGATGTTGAGAGTGAGCCCAGCACATGGCAGCGCTCTGGTGGAGCACCAGGCTGTGGTTATCGCCAGCTTGGAGAAGGTCCCTTTAAAAATTTCAACTTCTCAAGTCTCAGCAGGTGAGTCTCTCAGCGTTCCCAGTGCCCTAAATATGGTCAGGAAGCTCTTAGGTTTAGAGTCAAGTGGTTGGGTTGTATCCAAAGTATTAAAGGAGATGCTTGAACTTTGGAATGTACAACCAATGTATACTGGGGTGTCTCCTCCACAGTCAGATGGTCTGGTACTGCGGAGTACCACTAGGTGGAGCACCAAATGGCTGGCTGTACAGATCAAATGGGAACAAGAAAGTTGTTTTTTTCGGAATTTGTTGATGGTGTTAAAAGTTGTAACAGGGTATGCTGCTGGATTACCTGTAAATGTGATATATGAGAAATGTTTTGGAGAAATGGAAAATGAGTCAAAGGTTTTACCTCCTAACAGCCAGGTGGGAAGCATTTCTGCTGCTATGGTCCAGGATGGTGCTGGTCAGTTGTCAGTGAAGGGTGTGTTGACTGCACCAGTGGACAAACCACATGAGATGGAAGGGCCGAGCATGGACCAGAGAACAGCAGAGATCCTGACCAGGGCTCAAACGGATGTGCATAAAGAAATCCGGGTCATTGGGCCAAAAAGAGGTTTAGGTAGCAGGTCTGATGAGACATCTGACATACAGGGACAAATGATATCTGAAAACTGGCAAAATGGATCAGAAGAGAGCTCATCTGTTCAGGATTTGTATACAGATACAAGTGGTGTAGAAAAAGTTAAAATGGTTGGACAGCCGCCTGCAGATTGCATGACGCCAGGTGAAGTGGCATTTTGTGAGGTTCGCGTGGGTGATGGCTGCCCTATGGTGTGTGTGCCCTCTGCAGACACTGTCCTAACTAATACTGGAAAATGTATTGAAAGGTGTAATATTGACTGGAATATAACCGTTCATGGTAAACTGAATGCTGTGGTAATGAGTCATGCAGTTTTGATAGCTAAAGGTACAAGAAATCAGGGGGGTGGTCCTGGTACAAATACAGTAGAAATAGTTCCCCCTACAGCCTTGGGACAGTAATACTGAGAGAGGTATTAGGAAACCTTGGAACCTGAAGCAAAGGGGCAGAAAGGTCAATATAAAAGCCAGGGGGACCCCGTTAAGATCTCAGGAGAGAAAGTGGTTATGGAAATGCACTCGGAAAAAGAATAGGGAAGATCTGAGTAGAGCCCATAGCAGAGTGACAATGGGGCTTGGGGAGAGACACCAAAGGAGTCATTGGGTAGATTTCCCCTTTTAGGAAAGGTATGGTTAGACCAGATTGGACCCCTGTAAGTGAGAGCTGGCACAGAGGTGCCAGAAGCTGTAAGTCATGTGTTCTGCCCCCTACGGGTTCAAAACACAAGGGGGGGGATATGTGACAGTGTGGCGATCTGTCACCCTGGATTCTCAACAAGGCAGGTTTGAGGGGGCTCCAGGGTAAATGTTTGATATGGAGGAAAGTGGCTTTTCACCTTCCTCCTTTGTTTGTAAGGTCTGTTTTGGGATCTGGAGCCTGGAGATTTCAAAGAGATCTGGGAGGGATGAAATCTCCAATCCTGGGACCAGGTTTTGGAAATGGCCATTACACGATTGCACAGGTGTGCACGGCTCCACCCCGGCAGTTAGGAGTCAGGAGGGCTCCACCCCGGCAGACGGGAGGTCTCTGCCTTGGAGTCAGGTGGAAGCCAGACTAGCTGTGTGCTAGTGACATATTTTGGGAAGAGTCTGCAGGAGGCAGACTTAAAACTGCGTACAAGCCAGGAGGCTGAATATTGTTAATTTACTTGATGGTGGATACCCCTGCGTGGGAAGCATTTCTGTTTTGAACTTTCTTAAATAAAAAGTGGGCTAAAAAGGCCCTTAAAGAAAGCGAGTAGCTGTGTGCGTTTAAAAGGCTCTACCACCTTGAAGCGAGTTCCCACAGGGGACAGAACTTGCCGCTACACCGGTCCCTCAGGGACACTTCCGTGGGAAAGGGGGGGGGGGCGCCCCTCTGAAAAGTGCCGCCCTAGGCGACTGCCTAGTTTGCCTCACAGCAAATACGCCCCTGCCCACAACAGTAAAATCAGTCTATATGCAGTAAAGCATGCTTATTATGCTCACTGTAGAACCTAAGGGGTTAATCCTCTATTGTGTAAAAAGGCTGTTTGATCCTTTCTTCTCTGTCCCTCCTCTTGTTGAAATACCCACCTGACACAGACTGAACCTGTGGTCACATGCACATGCTCAGTTTGGTGTGTATTGCTAGAGAGGTTTTTTTTTTTTTTTTTTTCTTGGGAGGGTGCATATGATTAGCACAGGGCCAATCAGCATTTTCCAGACAGAGGGTCAGGGGTTTCACATCCTCCTAGAGCAGAAAGAAAACTCCTCCTACAAGCTTTTAACCAGTTCTCAGCTGAAGTCACAAGACTGCTCTAACTGCTGATAAGAAAAGGTACCAACAATTCAAATTATCTTTGACTCCTTCATCTGGTTTTGGTTTGGTGCTACTTATTATTATTTATTATTATTATTATTATTATTATTATTATACAGTATTTATATAGCGCCAAAAGGTTTGCTCAGCGCTGTACATTATAGTGGGGGACAGAACATGAGACAATACAGTAACAAAACAATCCACAAGGGGTTCGAGGGCCCTGCTCTTTCGAGCTTACACTCTAGGAGGGAGGGGATAGTGGTACAGGAGGAAGTGGCTGTGGGGGATGGAGTGGTAGGAGGGGTGGAGGAGATTGGCTATTAAGTGAGGGTGGGGGTAGGCTTCCCTGCAGATATGGGTTTTCAGTGTGCGCCTAAAGGTGAGGAGGGTAGGTGACAGTCTGATGGATTGGGGTAGTGAGTTCCAGAGGATGGGGGAAGTCCTGGAGAAGTCCTGCAGTCGGGCGTGGGTGGAGGAGACCAGGGAGCTAGAAAGTAGGAGGTCTTGTGAGAAGCAAAGAGTACGGGTTGGGTGGTATTTGGGTATCAGGCTCGGTGAGGTAGTTTGGGGCAGCGTTATGAACGGCTTTGTATATCGGTGTTAGTATTTTGAATTTAATGCGTTGAACAATCGGAAGCCAGTGGAGGGAATGACAGAGGGGGGGTGGCAGAAGCGGAGCGGTTGGTAAGGTGGATGAGTCTGGCCACTGAGTTCAGGATAGACTGAAGCGGGGATAGCCTGTGCTGGGGTAGGCTGGTGGGAAGGGAGTTGCAGTAGTCCAGACGTGAGATAATAAGGGAGTGAACAAGTTGTTTAGTAGTGACTGGGGTTAGGAACATACGTATTTTGGAGATGTTGCGGAGGTGGAGTTTGCATGAGTTTGCCAACGATTGAACATGTAATTGGAAGGACAGGTTTGAGTCTAGAGTGACACCTAGGACTTTGGATTGCGGGGTGGGACTGATAGTGGCATTGTTGGTCGTGATGGAGAGGATGGGAGGGGGGGCGCGGGCTGGGGGGAAATTAGGAGCTCGGTTTTGGAAAGGTTCAATTTGAGGAAATGAAGCACATCAAGTCTGAAATGTCATTCAGTAGGTGGGCGATACAGGCGGAGACCGAAGGGTTGAGGTGAGGGGTGGAGAGGTAAATTTGCGTGTCATCGGCGTAGAGCTGATAGTTGAAGCCGTGGGAGCGTATCAGTTTGCTGAGGGAGGAGGTGTAGATGGAGAAGAGAAGGGGCCCGAGGACAGAGCCTTGGGGGACCCCAACAGAGAGGGGGAGAGAGGGGGAGGTGGTAGCGTTATAGGTAACGCTGAAGGAGCGTTGGGATAGATAGGAGGAGAGCCAGGAGAGAGCGGAGTCTCTGATGCCGAGGGAGTGTAGTTTATTAAGGAGGAGGGGGTGGTCAACTGTGTCGAAGGCCGCGGAGAGGGTCGAGGAGTAGGAGGACTGAGTACTGGCCATTAGCTTTGGCGGTTAGCAGGTCATTAGTGATTTTGAGTAGGGTGGTTTCGATGGAGTGTAGGGGACGGAAGCCAGACTGTAGTGGATCGAGGAAGTTGTTACCAGTGAGGTGGGAGCTTAGGCGATTGTAGACTAAGCGCTCAAGGAGCTTGGATGTAAATGGCAGCAGGGAGATGGGTCTAAGGTTGTTCAGGTCGATGGGGTCCAGGGAGGGTTTTTTGAGTATGGGGGTGATGTGTGCTTGCTTTAGGGGGGAGGGGAATGCGCCAGTAGAGTGGGAGAGATTGAAAATGTGGGTGAGGGAGCATAGGATGGAGGAGGAGGGTGACCGGAGGAGTTGTGTGGGGACAGGGTCAAGGGGGCAAGTGGTGAGGCGGGTTTCTGAGAAGACCTTAGTGACCTCCTCAGTGGTAGCAAGGCTGAAGGATCGGAGTGTTGGGGAGGATTATAGTAGTGTGCGGAGTCTTAGGTGTGGTGGGGGGCAGGGCAGTTGCAAGGTCAGAGGAGGGGAGAGTTGATGGGGTTATAGTGGGAGGGAGGCTAGGTGGGGAGGTAGATTGAGCATTGGCGATGTCCTTACGGATTGCGTCAATCTTGTTTTGGAAGTGATTGGCAATCTTGTGGGCGGTGAGTGAGGTACTGGGTGGAGGTGGGGGGGACGAGAGTAGGGAGTTGAAAGTGGAGAAGAGCCGGCGAGGACAGGTGGAGAGGGTGTTGATGAGGGTTATGATGAAGTAGGCTTGTTTGGCAGCGTGGAGGGAGGAGGTGTAGGTGAGAAAGGCGGATTTGTAGAGGGAGAACTCTCGAGGGGATCTGGTTTTGAGCCATAATCGCTCCAGCGCGCGCGACTGCGTCGTTTAAGATTTTTAGTGTGGACATTCTGCCAGGGTTGAAGCGGTCGGGGGTCTAATGCTACTTGTGGTTAGGGGTGCTAAGGAGTCTAAGGCAGCTGACAGCGAGTCGTTATACGCAATAGTGGCCAGGTCAGGGCATGACAGTGGAAGGATACTGTCGTACAGACGGTCAGCTGCAGAGTGGAGAGGGGCCGGATTCAGGTTGCGGAACTTTCTCTGTTTTCACGGTTTTACATTCTGTTGGGGGCCCAACAAGGGAAGCCATGTTGTGTGGGAGATTGCCTGGCCATAGCTATTGAGCGTGTTTGCAGTTATCTTTCATTTGACTACACATGCAATTCTAAAAGTTCCAAGCACCTTGAGTATGAAGTCCTGAAATAAAGAGACTCTCTCACATTGCCCATTCAATGTTTAAGAGATAAACCCAGTAAGAGGGGAAGTGCAGGCTATACAATTAGCACATGGATGCATAGATTTACTGTATATACCAGTAATTATTACACAATAAAGTGCAAGCACCCACAGGAGCAAGTTATGAATGGTCTATGTACTTCGCAAAGTGCTTCATGCTATATTTTAGTACATAAATGGTTAAAATAAATAAAGATATCATGCCAAAACTTTGTTCAGTTATTAAAATTAAATCTTTCCTCCAGTCAATCATTTGTTCCTTTACTGAAAGGAGTGTCAGACCAAAACCAGATTGTTGCTAAATAAGCCATATAAAACTTTATATATTTTTTTTTTACCAACAAAAATATCTTGACATTTTTTTATCTGGTTTTGGTTTGATGCTTCTTTCTGTATTTCTATGAGGGAAGCCTTGTTGTGTGGTAGCCACTTTTCCATCAACCTTCATGTAACTTTACATGCAAGTTTGAAAGTTCCCAGCGCTTCATTGAATCTGTTGTTTATGATTTGTCCCTTCATTGTCCCCAATGTCACACACATGCTTTACAGTGAAGCATACAATACAGTAAGAGAAGTCAAAAGAGCCACTCTAGGTGCTTTGCCTTGACTTTTCTGTAAATGCCTGCTTCACAACAGTGCATGTAACACAGCATTCACTGACTGAAAACAGGTAGTATTGAAAATATAATGTGTATCACTTATCCCCGCTCTAACCCTTTTTTCCAATTTTAATGACCAGTGCAAGCATACATACAGTATTGGGAAAGTAAAGAAAGTTCATATTTCTAAGTATTAAATTATACCTAGTTGATTTCATATCAAGGAGACCTACTTATAATTTTGTATTCACCACAGACCTTTAGCAAAGTGCCTGCAAGCAGGTACAAAAAATGTACAGAGGGTAAGGTAGAAAAGACATAAACATTTACTAATATCATGGTAAAGAGGTCACCCACACAATCAATTTTATTTTTACTAACTATGGACCATGGGTGATCATGGGAAATGCCACCTGTGATCCCTAGCCATCTCTGTATCATCTAATGCAAGATGTGCCATTATCTGAGACAATGGGTATGTTATTTGATATTGTAGCTTTTCCTGCTACCTTTCCTTAGACTTTTTCTCCTTTGCACTGTAATTCATGCAATTTATGTAATTAATAATTACAGAGAGGAGGGGAAAATCATCTGCTTGTTGCAGCACTCATTTACCGGTAGTCAAAGTTCCCCTTGAGTTACTTTTTATTGAGGTCTTGAGCATATATATATATATATATATATATATATATATATATATATATATATTGATCTGATCAGGTGCACTAGATGGGCAACAATGAGATGAACCCCTAAAATAGGAATGGTTTTAAAAGTGGAGGCCACTGACATTTTTTCCTTACTCATCTATTCTGACTGTTTTTCACTAGTTTTGCATTTGGCTAGGGTCAGCGTCACTACTGGGAGCATGAGGCCATACTTGGACCCTACAGAGGTTGCACAGGCAGTCCAGCTCCTCCAGGATGGCATATCAATACGTGCCATTGCCAGAAGATTTGC